GGTCGGTTTCCGGTTGAAGTTTTTGAACAAGTTCTTCATGAAGTTTAGATTGTATCCACAAAATTTCAACTTATATTTAATCGGGAAGTCAATTAAATAAATTATTGGGAAAAAAAACCGCTTTTATATTTAATCGAGAAATCAGTTAATTAAATTATTGAAACAAATTGTGTCAAACTATATACATAAAAGCGATTTTTTTTCAATAATTTATTTAACTTACTTCCCGAGCTGAAATTTCGTGGACATAATCTACACTTCATGATGAACATGCTAAAAAGTTCATAAAAAATTCCACCGATAATCTTCCCAAACGGCGGTCGGTCGGTCGAAGGATCCTGTCCGGAAGGCTGGACAAGATATTTTCCCCTCATAAGCAAACGATGCCCCCTTATAATACATCAATTACTTATGTCATCATATTCCCTTTTAATGCATTTATCCCACTTCTTATTGCACTCGCTTTAAAGGTTATTTTGCCCACCTACTTATCTCCTATAGCACCTAAATAGAAACATTAATTATTAAAATAAAGATTAAAAATTCCCGAAATGTTTTAGTTAAAATTCTTCAAAGATTACATTTTCTCTGGGCATGTTTTTGATAAATCATCAACCGATAAAACTATTTCAATCCCAATTTACTAAGCACACTGATTCACTTTATTAATTAATCATTACAATTATTATTTTTATCAAGTATGTTATTCCCTTATTGTAATTATATTGTTTTTTTTATTGTAATTATATTGCTTATTCTAGGGAATCAAGATTCATACAACAATTAAGAAGATGTTGATTTATAAGTTTGAAAGACTTTTGGATGAGTCCAAATTTTACATATGAAAGGGTTTGAATCCATACTTAAAATACATATAAACATAATGTTACCAATTGGACCAGATCATGTCACCTCCTAATAATGATGACAATGATAATGTTGATATTATTAGTAATTTAATAATTTAATAATAATAATAAAAGTAATATATCATATCCATTTGATCTTAAAATTTCATGTCTGATGTGGATATTGTTTATCTGATTTAATTTGATTTGTATCGTCTGATCTAATCTTCTGATATGGTCGAAATAAAATAAAAATAAAAATAAAGAATAAAATTTGGACATACATAACAGCTCCTTGATCACAAGGTCTACCGCATTAACATGGATGTAAAGGCCGATTCATTCTTTTGTCCAAGTTTTATTAAAGGTCGATTCATTCTTTTGTCTTCCGCACATCCTCGATGTAACTATATATTCAATTCTATTCTTCAACAATAATCTTAATGATTTCTACATTCCTTCTTAGCGACTCAATATAACTCATTGAATTGCACAGTCTATGAGTTCACATGTGATTCAGTATCACTTCTATTTTTTAAAATTTCATTTCATTCACATTTTTCATAACAAACACTAGAACATATTTTTCCGTGCGGTGCACAGGTACACATACTAGTAGAACAATATAGTAGGGTGTATAAATTGTAACTTTGATTATATATTGGTACTTTGTGTGAAAATGTAATTGTAGATGAAAATTGCAAGTAAATTAGAAAAAACGATGAGCCATAAAAATAAGTTCTTTATGAAAATGAAATAAGACGATTGTTTAATTACTACCGAGTAATATTTAGTTCATAATCATATGATGTTCTCACTTAGACTAAATTTTTCTGGTTTGGTTGGGTCTCGTCTAATCTGGTCTAGTTTAATTAGTATAATCTGAACTGGTCTGGTCTGGTCTAATAGATGTCTGGTCTTTGTGTATTTTACAACTGCCGAAGTCTATTTTGATCTGGTCTGGTATGATCTGATCTTGTCTAGGACTCAAATGATTCCAATTAAAAACATTCATAATAGTCATGCTTTATAATTAAATTATGACAATTTTTTTATTAAATTAATTACTTCAAAATATAAAGTTGCAAGCAAGATATATTTTAAATTATTTTCACTTCTTAGACCACAATAAAAACATTTACTTGTAAAACCTTGTCAACTTTCCTTATTTAACTCTATCAAAAACTTCGTCATTTTATTTAAAGTAAAATTTTCGTCTCGCTAAGATTATTTCATCTTCGGTCTGTCTGACTAATTATTGTCACATACCAAATTTGCTAAATTAAAATTTGTGTGGTTCTAAATAATTCTTATTTTATTAATTCAATATTAACCATATAAATTCACTTTACTTAATAATCGCACCTTCTCCTAATGTCACAATATTAGTGGAATGGAGGTAATAATAAACATGAAAATGATATAAATAAATTTAAATGAAATCTATATATAATAGCTTTCGTGATCACAACCATATATGTACATATGTTAAATAATTATGATACATCCCATTTTATGTACATATGTTAAATAATTATATTTACTTTAATTTTCGCCACATTTAAAGCATGCTATTAGTTTTTGGATAGTTATTATCTAAATGTTCAACTAATTATTGTAATTAGGGTGTATAAATTTGGCATTGTGTGATGTTAAATTTTCCATATTTCTTACTTCAAAGTTCAAAGTGATACGGGTCTTACTCATACTACGTACGAAGTATTTATTACGGAATTTGAATTATACTATCCAAATTATTATGAAGTACGTAGTATTAGTTAGTGCTGGTTTCGGTTAGGGTCCCATCACCCATGTGTACCGAACCAAAAGGAGAGAGGTTTTTACTCACTACTCCGTAATATTTATGTGTATATCCTTGTCATGTCACATGTGCACCGTGTACATTGAAAAAATGTGAAATTGAATATTGCTTTTAGTGTTACCGTGTTACCGTGTTACCTAGTTTGTAAGAAGATGTGATGCTATGTGCTCCTTTCATCCCTTGTAGCTTTGTCATGTTTAATTGACACATGAAATAATAAATTGAATAAATAGGGCACTTTAAACAATATCATTAATACAAAACAATAACGACAGTGACAAAAATAAGCAAAACAATATTTTTGAATTGACTAATGAATGAAAACTACGGAGTAATATTTATGTGTACAAATACATTGAATTGATGCATTCGTGTATTGCTGATTACTCCTTTGAATTAAGGTCCAAATACAACTTTTGATATGGAGTAGTTTTTGGTGCAAGGATTTCTCCAAGTAGATTTTATTAATACTCCGTACATTTTTTAATTAATATTAATATTTTTGTTTCTATAGTATATGGGCAAGTATATATATAGTGGACAGTCCGTTTATAGCTTTTATGTTTCCTTTTATACATATGGATCATTAACTTCAAAAGTGGGATTACCTATATGCTATATGTATGATAGGCTAATTCTCGTCAATATATATGGTGTAGTGCGAGTGCATTTACTGCTAAATGTATGAATGCGATTTTTCCTTCCGTAATAATATGGTGTAGTGCGAGTGCATTTACTGCTAAATGTATGGATGCGATTTTTCCTTCCGTAATTAGATTAGCTCGATTAATTAATGGATGCATTTACTGCTAAATACGGAGTATATGGATGCATTTATTGATTACCTTTTTGTGTCCATTTCTTCCAATCTTGCCCTTATTTTGGGCGGCAATTTTGCCCTTATTTTGCTTCCAAAAGTTGTAGCTCGACTGTTACTTTATATTATATAAAGATAAAGATTTTCATGTTAACTTTGATTTCATTCTAATTGACTGTTAGTTATGGGATACTTTAATTGAATGGTTATGAATTTGCTTTTATATTTTGATTATAAGCTTGAATATTAACATTTTAGGTGGATATAGCAGTTCTAAATATGATTTTTCTCTCATAAAACTTGTTCAAGACTTGATATTGTAGTATCAAAAAAAGGAATTGGATGACAACAACATGTCGTAATTTTTGTATACATAAATTTGAATGGCGGAAGAATATCATTAGTTTTAGTAGTATTAGTGTATCACTAATTTATATGGTGTCAATGTGTCAGTTTAAGTATACCAATGCAAATGCATCATTATAATATATGATATTAAGATGTCACAATTTTCTGACACTTTTACAGTGACACCAATTTTAGTGTCGCAACTCCAACCACTCGTTGACACTTTTCAAGTGTCACTAAAACTTTTGGGGTTTAATCCGAAAGCTACCCCTAAGCACGATAGTGGTCCAGATAGACTTTTGGAATTGGGAATTGATTGGCAAGTCTTCCACCCGTACCTGCTATATGAGGCTTATCAGTGAGGTAATATCCAATGATTGGTGGGGTTGGACAGTGATGTGGAAATGGGATATTCAACTACATATGAACACTCTATTTTGGCAAATTTGCATTGGTTGTTTACCGACGATGGAGGGATTGTGGCGATGAGGAGTTGGGTGTCCGGTGAAGTGTGGACTGTGTGATGCGGGAGTGGAATCGCTGATGCACCTATTTGTTCAATCGTTGATGTAACACCCCAAATTTCCCTCCCAAAATAATACTTAAGAAATAATAAACTTTTATTAATTATTCAAAACTTTGAATTGTTTGCAGCGGAATTAAACAATAATAGGGAAAAGGGGTGTGTTACCGCCACACCCAGCCCTAAACCGACTGGATGCTAAGGCTATCCACCGTAAATGTATCTAAAGTAATTATTAAATTCAACATTTGAAATCATGAAATCTAACAAGGTTCATTCTAAATGAGACTACTCTAAAAATCTTCTAGGAGCGCTCTCAGTGCATCAGTCTTCATAAACCACATCATCTGTAACATAAGAAAATAAAAGAAACAAATAACACAAAAATTAGCTTTAGAGCTAAGTAAGTCCCACCCAACCCCGTAAAATAATAGTTTTGTTTAAAAATAAGTATTTGTATATAGTATATACAAAATGAGTTTCCATTAATTTCAAAAAGAGTAATAATATCTCCAAAAGATTTTCTTCAATAATTCTCGTAAGTATTTCAAAGAATAATTCTCCAAGTACCAAAATATTTTATTTTTCCTCAAAATAGCTTTATAGCCAATTTTCCTAATTATTTAGTTAGAAGGGTGGTGCTTGATAGCCGTTATGTTTACTTGTGTTTAACATAAGTATTTATAAGTATTTGTTGAAGAAAAGAAGAGAAATCGGGCAAATACCTCCAGAATGAGAGCTAGATCATAAAACATTGCGATGAACGACTTTTTGGACCAAGAGAATGACGTTCTGCCCATAATTTGAGTATAACGTATTCTATAGAACTCTAAATCACTCGATTCGAGTTTCATGTGAATGCTAACTCAATAAGGTACAAATGTTATGAAGACGTCATGACCAAAATATGAAAGGAACAAGACCCAATCAACCAACAAAGTCAGATGTTGCTGGTGGGATTTCAGGATGCATACCTCTCAGTGTTTTATCCATATCTCTTGATTGGCTGAATAAAATCATGTCATTCAAGTTTTGTTGGATAGAAGACTTCATTATCTACAACTTTGGTGAAGGAATCATGTCCAAATTCGTAGCGGAACATCCCCAAAATCCCAGGACAAAACTGGCGCCGAAATTTGCACCAAACCCGCGCCGGTTTGTTAATTTCCGCGTGGCACAAACCAGTAGCTTACCCGGCGCCGGGTAGGCCTTATACCCGGCGCCGGGTAGGCCAAAATTTCCAGTTTTCCCTGCACACAACGAAGAACCGGCGCCGGGTAGGCCTGAAACCGGCGCCGGGTAGGTCCGATTCTGCACAAAACAGTCCAACGTGCAAGAGGATTTTTGATGGGAAAACTTCATCTTCCTCAAGTGTGATCAAATATTGCTTCCATACCTTATTGTTGGGCTCGAATAGACTAAAAGATGCCATTCTTTAGCCTATATAAAGCCCTCAATTCATCATTCAAACACATTCCATTCCATAGATTAATTCCTAACTTTTATATTTTGTTCTTGCTATTTTTCTTCAAGTTCTTGAGGAGGAAACTTCAACCTCCGAAATCATTGGTGTTTAGGTATTATTTCCTTTGTAATTTCATGTTCCATTACATTTCAATATTGTATTATGATTAATATGAGCATTAGAGGCTAAGTTCTTAGCTAAGGCTAGGGATGAACTTCTATGCCCACTAGGTGTTTGATAAAAGTTCTAAACCAATAAATTGTGATTTATCCTTTACATTTTGATTGTTTATGACTATGGTGTACAACATAGAAGTATGTTAAACTTAGTTTATGCTTGCAATTAACGTTGGGGTCTAAACTATGAACATTAAAGGATAAACATATATATTACCGAGAATAGAAATATATCCGGTATTATATGATACGGGTGTGATGTCTTGATATTCAACGGGGTTTTCGGTAGATGAATGTAAGCCGTAACGGGACTTACACGTAACGAAAACCACGCTCTCGCTGCCTTAACCGGAGTTGAGAATATATTAGCGACATCGTATTCATAATTATTGGTAAAGAACTAATATTCAACCCTATTAAAGCATTTAAGTGATTCCCGAAGCCTTAGTTGTTGTTATCAATCACTTTAATCAAATTAATTCAAGTTATATCTCTGAAAATTAAAAAGAAGAACCAAGTTGTTGTTTTCACAACAACACACAACTCAAAATCCCTACACTTTACTCATTTACTTATTCAAAGTCATCTACTCGCGGACTAAATTAAACAACGTTTCCCTGTGGATTCGACCCGGTATTTTACCGGAATTTATTACTATATCGGCACTTGTACATTTGCAAGTTCAGCCCGATCAAGTTTTTGGCGCCGTTGCCGGGGAAACGGTCTTGTTTAATAAAGTCCAAAGAATCAACCAATCAAAAATCCTGAATTTATTTTTCACAACTTCACTTGATCTTGGAAGGATTTTTGTTTTTTCTTGTGTAGATATTCCCATGTGTTTGCATGCAATTGAGAGGTCAAGGTTCTAAAATTCTTGAACCACTTGATCTTGAAATAGAAAAAACTTGCAAACACATTCGAAGGGAGCAAAAAGCTACAAAGATGTTGCCAACTTTGAATGAGAGGAAGAGACCCGTGGTGGCCGCTATGCCATCTTGCATCACCTTGAGCGAGGAAGCAAGAGACTATGAGCTAAGGCAAAGCTACTTCAACGCTATGCCTCAATTTCATGGTTTGCTTGGGGAAAATCCACTCAACTTCATCACGGAGTTCTACGGATTCATTCAAGGAATCCCTAGAAATGGCTTGGCGGAGGATCAACTCAAGCTCAAATGCTTCCCCTATATATACTCTCAAAGGGGCGGCAAGAGGATGGTTCCTAGAGCAAGCTCCGGCAAGCTACACAACATGGGAAGGTATATACAATGCCTTCATGTCTAAGTACTACACGCCCACCATGACTCAAGAGCTTAGACAACGCATTTTCAATTTCAAACAACAAAATGGTGAGCTCTTTCAAGACGCATGGCGGCGTTTCAAATCATTGCTAAGGGAATGCCCACATCACCGCATTCCCCTAGACCTTCAAATTGACACGTTCTACAATGGTTTGAATGCACCTTGTCAAGCCATTGTGGACAACCGAGCCGAGGGCTACATTGGAAATAAAAATGAAACTGAGGCACTCCGAATCATTGAATCTATTGCCTCAAATCCTCAACTTCAAGGAGGCGATTACAAGGTGGTCGGGATGAATGAAATCTCTATCACAACCGAGATTAACAAAAGGCTTGAACAAATGGAATCAAAAATTGAGCAAAAATTCCAAACGGCCCTTCAAGCCGTATCGGGAGGAGTCAAGCAAATAGCTAATGTGGAGAGCATTCAAAGTCCGGAAGGCAATTTATCTCAACATCTTGAAGAGGTAAATTTCATGAACTCTTATGGGAACCGGGGAAACAATAATCCTTCTAATCAACAAAGGTGGAACCAAGGGAGCAATTGGAAGCCACAACCCCAATCCGGAGCACCTAATTTTGGGCCGTCCAAGGAAACCACCATGGAGGATATGATGCAATTCATATCCAAGAGCATGGAAAGCATGAAGGCTCAAAATGAAGAGAACCATAGTAGAGTGGAGGCATCCATTGGGAATCTCCACTCTCAATTCAACAAGTTGGATCTTCGCTTTGAAGATCAAAATATAAAGCTCAACCAACGCATCAACACCATTGAGCAATATACCAAGGCGTCAATCCGAAATCTTGAAGTTCAATTGGGGCAACTCGCCCAAAAAGTGAGTTCTAGAGAGCAAGGTAAACTCCCTAAAACTACGGAGGTAAACCCGAGGGAGAGCGTCATGGCCATTACCACAAGAAGCGGGAGGCAAACGGAGGATCCTAAAATGCCGGAGAGAAGAAAGACACCGGAGGAACAAGAAGAGGTTTCACATACACCGTTGCCACCTATTATGCCTCAATATGTTCCTCCCATCCCTTATCCACAAAAGTTGAAGAAGAAAGGAGATGAGAAGAAACACAAGAAAATTCTTGATATATTCAAGAAATTGAGCATCAACATACCTTTTGCGGAGGCCATTGCGGAGATTCCATCATACGCAAAATTTCTCAAAGGCATCATCTCCAACAAAAAGAAGTTAGAGGAATTCGCAACTGTAGCACTAACGGAGGAATGTAGTGCCATTATTCAAAACAAACTTCCTCCAAAACTCAAAGACCCCGGAAGCTTTACTATTCCATGCTCTATTGGAAAAATCGGGGAGGTAAGGTCTCTTTGTGACCTTGGTGCTAGCATAAATCTTATGCCCTACTCCCTATTTAAAAAGCTAAGTGTGGGGGAACTCCAACCAACAACGGTTGCTTTGCAATTAGCGGATAGAACAATCCGCTATCCGATAGGTATCATGGAGGATGTCCTTGTGAAACTTGGAAAATTCTACTTCCCGGTAGATTTTCTTGTTTTGGACATGGAAGAGATGGAAGTTCCTGTCATCCTTGGGAGATCATTTTTGGCCACCTCCGCAGCCGTCATTGATGTACAAGCGGGCACCGTAAGACTAAGAGTGGGAGAAGATGATGAAACATTCCATGTATGGAAAACACAATCCATTCTAACTCAAAACATGGAGGTCAACACAAATCCTTTTACTCCTCCCAAGGCCATAAACATCATGGACATCAAGAAGGCACAAATATTTGGGCCCGAGGACCCTCCCACACACCCCGAGAGCAAAAAGAACAGGCCTCCAACTCCATGGCCTCCCCACGATCTCAAAAAGGTAACATTGGTCAAACGTCTTCGGGAGCACAATCACACGTGAGAGGTACGTTGCGTCCGGCCTATGACGTTAAACTGAGCGCTAATTGGGAGGCAACCCAACAAATTCAATTATAAATAAATATGTTTAGTTAAATACATATTCATATTTATTTATAATTGAAACCCAAAAAAAACACAAAAAAAAAAACAAAAAAAAAAAGAAAAAGAAAAAGAAGCATCATCTAAACTCATGTATCATGCATCTCCTACTCTCACAAGACGGCCCATTCCGCTATTGAAGATTTCATCCTCCATTACATCCTCCAATGTACATTGAGGACAATGTATCTCAAGTGTGGGGGGTGTATCTCATGGTTAGTTAAACAAATTTTGTGTGCAAAATAATATTTTTTTTTAGGAAGGTAAAAGTTGTGATAATTCTCTTTTTAATGGGTATTTGGTTGAGAAAGTTTTTATTATTCACATAAACTATCATTTTTTTAAGATTTATTACACTACTTTTACTCTTGAAAACCATTCCCAAAATAAACCTTGTGACTAGGAAACCTCATCTTCTTCCATGTCCAAAAATGGTTTAAGTACATCTCAAATATTCAAGAACCATTTTTGGAAAACAAGCCACCCCACAACTCATCAAATAAATTGGGATCATCAAAATGACTTTGAGTAAATACTTGTTGAGAATCCATTCAAAAAAAAAAAACTCATGGTCTCTTCCAAGAATTTCAACCGATCCATTTCTATACTCAAAAGTCAAATACACAAAAAAAAAAAAAGCCATCCTACACACCCAAAAAAAAAAGTCCTAGTCACAATCCACTCATATACTCTCAAGGGTATAAGTAATTTTTCTAAATCTAATGATAGTTTTGTGTGTCTAATAGAAATTTGGTTTTGGACCGAGAATGATAAAGGAGTTTACATAACTTTATACCTCCCTTAAAAATAAAATTATTTTTGTGCATATATTTTTGTTGAAACTAACCAAGGCATCCAAGGTGAAGAAATTGCTCGAGGACAAGCAATGCTCAAGTGTGGGGGGATTTGATAGCCGTTATGTTTACTTGTGTTTAACATAAGTATTTATAAGTATTTGTTGAAGAAAAGAAGAGAAATCGGGCAAATACCTCCAGAATGAGAGCTAGATCATAAAACATTGCGATGAACGACTTTTTGGACCAAGAGAATGACGTTCTGCCCATAATTTGAGTATAACGTATTCTATAGAACTCTAAATCACTCGATTCGAGTTTCATGTGAATGCTAACTCAATAAGGTACAAATGTTATGAAGACGTCATGACCAAAATATGAAAGGAACAAGACCCAATCAACCAACAAAGTCAGATGTTGCTGGTGGGATTTCAGGATGCATACCTCTCAGTGTTTTATCCATATCTCTTGATTGGCTGAATAAAATCATGTCATTCAAGTTTTGTTGGATAGAAGACTTCATTATCTACAACTTTGGTGAAGGAATCATGTCCAAATTCGTAGCGGAACATCCCCAAAATCCCAGGACAAAACTGGCGCCGAAATTTGCACCAAACCCGCGCCGGTTTGTTAATTTCCGCGTGGCACAAACCAGTAGCTTACCCGGCGCCGGGTAGGCCTTATACCCGGCGCCGGGTAGGCCAAAATTTCCAGTTTTCCCTGCACACAACGAAGAACCGGCGCCGGGTAGGCCTGAAACCGGCGCCGGGTAGGTCCGATTCTGCACAAAACAGTCCAACGTGCAAGAGGATTTTTGATGGGAAAACTTCATCTTCCTCAAGTGTGATCAAATATTGCTTCCATACCTTATTGTTGGGCTCGAATAGACTAAAAGATGCCATTCTTTAGCCTATATAAAGCCCTCAATTCATCATTCAAACACATTCCATTCCATAGATTAATTCCTAACTTTTATATTTTGTTCTTGCTATTTTTCTTCAAGTTCTTGAGGAGGAAACTTCAACCTCCGAAATCATTGGTGTTTAGGTATTATTTCCTTTGTAATTTCATGTTCCATTACATTTCAATATTGTATTATGATTAATATGAGCATTAGAGGCTAAGTTCTTAGCTAAGGCTAGGGATGAACTTCTATGCCCACTAGGTGTTTGATAAAAGTTCTAAACCAATAAATTGTGATTTATCCTTTACATTTTGATTGTTTATGACTATGGTGTACAACATAGAAGTATGTTAAACTTAGTTTATGCTTGCAATTAACGTTGGGGTCTAAACTATGAACATTAAAGGATAAACATATATATTACCGAGAATAGAAATATATCCGGTATTATATGATACGGGTGTGATGTCTTGATATTCAACGGGGTTTTCGGTAGATGAATGTAAGCCGTAACGGGACTTACACGTAACGAAAACCACGCTCTCGCTGCCTTAACCGGAGTTGAGAATATATTAGCGACATCGTATTCATAATTATTGGTAAAGAACTAATATTCAACCCTATTAAAGCATTTAAGTGATTCCCGAAGCCTTAGTTGTTGTTATCAATCACTTTAATCAAATTAATTCAAGTTATATCTCTGAAAATTAAAAAGAAGAACCAAGTTGTTGTTTTCACAACAACACACAACTCAAAATCCCTACACTTTACTCATTTACTTATTCAAAGTCATCTACTCGCGGACTAAATTAAACAACGTTTCCCTGTGGATTCGACCCGGTATTTTACCGGAATTTATTACTATATCGGCACTTGTACATTTGCAAGTTCAGCCCGATCAAGTTTTTGGCGCCGTTGCCGGGGAAACGGTCTTGTTTAATAAAGTCCAAAGAATCAACCAATCAAAAATCCTGAATTTATTTTTCACAACTTCACTTGATCTTGGAAGGATTTTTGTTTTTTCTTGTGTAGATATTCCCATGTGTTTGCATGCAATTGAGAGGTCAAGGTTCTAAAATTCTTGAACCACTTGATCTTGAAATAGAAAAAACTTGCAAACACATTCGAAGGGAGCAAAAAGCTACAAAGATGTTGCCAACTTTGAATGAGAGGAAGAGACCCGTGGTGGCCGCTATGCCATCTTGCATCACCTTGAGCGAGGAAGCAAGAGACTATGAGCTAAGGCAAAGCTACTTCAACGCTATGCCTCAATTTCATGGTTTGCTTGGGGAAAATCCACTCAACTTCATCACGGAGTTCTACGGATTCATTCAAGGAATCCCTAGAAATGGCTTGGCGGAGGATCAACTCAAGCTCAAATGCTTCCCCTATATATACTCTCAAAGGGGCGGCAAGAGGATGGTTCCTAGAGCAAGCTCCGGCAAGCTACACAACATGGGAAGGTATATACAATGCCTTCATGTCTAAGTACTACACGCCCACCATGACTCAAGAGCTTAGACAACGCATTTTCAATTTCAAACAACAAAATGGTGAGCTCTTTCAAGACGCATGGCGGCGTTTCAAATCATTGAGAAAGTTTTTATTATTCACATAAACTATCATTTTTTTAAGATTTATTACACTACTTTTACTCTTGAAAACCATTCCCAAAATAAACCTTGTGACTAGGAAACCTCATCTTCTTCCATGTCCAAAAATGGTTTAAGTACATCTCAAATATTCAAGAACCATTTTTGGAAAACAAGCCACCCCACAACTCATCAAATAAATTGGGATCATCAAAATGACTTTGAGTAAATACTTGTTGAGAATCCATTCAAAAAAAAAAAACTCATGGTCTCTTCCAAGAATTTCAACCGATCCATTTCTATACTCAAAAGTCAAATACACAAAAAAAAAAAAGCCATCCTACACACCCAAAAAAAAAAGTCCTAGTCACAATCCACTCATATACTCTCAAGGGTATAAGTAATTTTTCTAAATCTAATGATAGTTTTGTGTGTCTAATAGAAATTTGGTTTTGGACCGAGAATGATAAAGGAGTTTACATAACTTTATACCTCCCTTAAAAATAAAATTATTTTTGTGCATATATTTTTGTTGAAACTAACCAAGGCATCCAAGGTGAAGAAATTGCTCGAGGACAAGCAATGCTCAAGTGTGGGGGGATTTGATAGCCGTTATGTTTACTTGTGTTTAACATAAGTATTTATAAGTATTTGTTGAAGAAAAGAAGAGAAATCGGGCAAATACCTCCAGAATGAGAGCTAGATCATAAAACATTGCGATGAACGACTTTTTGGACCAAGAGAATGACGTTCTGCCCATAATTTGAGTATAACGTATTCTATAGAACTCTAAATCACTCGATTCGAGTTTCATGTGAATGCTAACTCAATAAGGTACAAATGTTATGAAGACGTCATGACCAAAATATGAAAGGAACAAGACCCAATCAACCAACAAAGTCAGATGTTGCTGGTGGGATTTCAGGATGCATACCTCTCAGTGTTTTATCCATATCTCTTGATTGGCTGAATAAAATCATGTCATTCAAGTTTTGTTGGATAGAAGACTTCATTATCTACAACTTTGGTGAAGGAATCATGTCCAAATTCGTAGCGGAACATCCCCAAAATCCCAGGACAAAACTGGCGCCGAAATTTGCACCAAACCCGCGCCGGTTTGTTAATTTCCGCGTGGCACAAACCAGTAGCTTACCCGGCGCCGGGTAGGCCTTATACCCGGCGCCGGGTAGGCCAAAATTTCCAGTTTTCCCTGCACACAACGAAGAACCGGCGCCGGGTAGGCCTGAAACCGGCGCCGGGTAGGTCCGATTCTGCACAAAACAGTCCAACGTGCAAGAGGATTTTTGATGGGAAAACTTCATCTTCCTCAAGTGTGATCAAATATTGCTTCCATACCTTATTGTTGGGCTCGAATAGACTAAAAGATGTCATTCTTTAGCCTATATAAAGCCCTCAATTCATCATTCAAACACATTCCATTCCATAGATTAATTCCTAACTTTTATATTTTGTTCTTGCTATTTTTCTTCAAGTTCTTGAGGAGGAAACTTCAACCTCCGAAATCATTGGTGTTTAGGTATTATTTCCTTTGTAATTTCATGTTCCATTACATTTCAATATTGTATTATGATTAATATGAGCATTAGAGGCTAAGTTCTTAGCTAAGGCTAGGGATGAACTTCTATGCCCACTAGGTGTTTGATAAAAATTCTAAACCAATAAATTGTGATTTATCCTTTACATTTTGATTGTTTATGACTATGGTGTACAACATAGAAGTATGTTAAACTTAGTTTATGCTTGCAATTAACGTTGGGGTCTAAACTATGAACATTAAAGGATAAACATATATATTACCGAGAATAGAAATATATCCGGTATTATATGATACGGGTGTGATGTCTTGATATTCAACGGGGTTTTCGGTAGATGAATGTAAGCCGTAACGGGACTTACACGTAACGAAAACCACGCTCTCGCTGCCTTAACCGGAGTTGAGAATATATTAGCGACATCGTATTCATAATTATTGGTAAAGAACTAATATTCAACCCTATTAAAGCATTTAAGTGATTCCCGAAGCCTTAGTTGTTGTTATCAATCACTTTAATCAAATTAATTCAAGTTATATCTCTGAAAATTAAAAAGAAGAACCAAGTTGTTGTTTTCACAACAACACACAACTCAAAATCCATACACTTTACTCATTTACTTATTCAAAGTCATCTACTCGCGGACTAAATTAAACAACGTTTCCCTGTGGATTCGACCCGGTATTTTACCGGAATTTATTACTATATCAGCACTTGTACACTTGCAAGTTCAGCCCGATCAGTGCTCAAGCGTTATCTCGATTCTTGAGCCCAGTGATCCGTTGTTTTGTACGGTCACTCCGATCTACTCTCGGTACCTCATCTCCTCTATTAGAATCTAGACTTCTACCTTAAGTGTGCACACCCCCTAAAGGGATTCCAAACCCTCCGAGTAGTATGAAGTCTAAGTAGTTCTGACGTCAACGTCTCCCTACTCAAATTGGGATATACTTCTAAGTTCTAGGTTCAAAGACCCTTAAGAGAATAGATACTACTACTACTGCCTTAATAAATGGGATCTAATGCCCAATTGTTCGGGGTGGTTACCGAACCCTCCAAAATTTATTTAATTTGCTTTACACCTCTCAACTCAAGTAGTAGTAGTCCTAACCCTCCCTCACCATTAACGGACGTGAAGGTGGCCCGACACCTACGGATTTCTCCCGTGGTGCCCCAATTATGAAAACAGTCTTTTATCTTGACTTTCCAAAAATTTCACATTTATGTCTCTTGGACAAAAGATTAAAATCCATAACTTTATATTTTCCCCAAAATATCTTACGTATACACATAATCCGATGTATCTCAAAAACACAACAAATACAACTTGCTCACAAGTAATTCATCAATCAAAATATTCATACCATCACATAAATCAAGTAAATAGTTATTTACGAGGTAAAAACATAATTTTGGTTGCAATGTGACTTACCTCAAATTGCAGATATTCCTAACAAGCTTCTCTAACGGCTGCCTCCCCAAGTTCACCTTCTATTATTTTAAAATTCCCAAAATCAATAATCATTCTAAACTACAGTTTATTCGTCCTACCCTCCTCCTTTATTAATTATATGTACCGTACGGTTCTATGTTTAATTAATGTAAAAGTCTCCGATCCCGTAAGTGATTTTGTTCGTATACTCTAGGTTAATCGAATACTATGATTAGTTCTATATTATAATAGTCTATAAAAAAATTATTATAATAATCCGAATCTTTAATTAGTCCATATTATGATCCACCAGTTACTATTACTACATCAACAAAACAATTGAGTCCAAAAATCAATAAGTTAAATTGATTCTCTTATTTATCCGAATAATTCAAAGTATTCATTTCAATCAATTAAATTAATCCGTGTCCTTATTAAAGATTAACCAACTAGTCCTAACAAGCAGATCGATGATTTTGGTTTTTCTAGTACTATTATTATTATTATAATAAACTGCCTACTTTATTTCATGGCTGTTTTAATTTACTTTCACATTAGTTGGTCTGTATATTTTAATGAAATTAAGCCAAATATATAATTCAATTAACTGATAATATTCAAAGTTCCATTTAAACTACTAATCCGTCCATTTAACGTTAGTTCGATAGTAATCAATCAATTATATTTAGACCATAAATTCTATTTTATAGCCAATATAACTGATCCATTATTATTAAGCCGAAACGTCCTTTATTTATTTATTTATTTATTTATTTATTTATTTATTTATTTATTTACCTTATAAGTAATAATCATTCTGTTGTAATCTTAGTAGTCCAAGTATAATAATCAATCAGTTATTACTTTAAACAATTAATAGCTCAAACTCTCCTAATCAGTTATTAATCTCATTAGAGTTAATGTGTCAATGCTATTATGACTATACGAATGGTGATAACCCCGTTTATTATTATTATTATTAAATTTATCACCATTACATATCATTACTACTCTTATCATTACATAATACTCGTATTACTGTTATTATTATTATTTATTTGTTGTTTGTCCAGTTCTTACGAATCAGTTTAAACAATTCAGTTATTTTTATTAGTGAATCAGTCCAGAGTTTCAATGTTATTATTACTACTTCCTAGCCCATTTTATATTTTAACCAGTCCGGTCCGTATTAGATCAGATTAATGATAGTCCGCAGCCTGGTTACGCCGGAAACTTAAGAAAACGAAGGTGTGCGGGTTACCTCTCTTGGCGATGCTTCGGGTGACGCAGCGGCGGTTGTCAGCAGAAGGTTAGCCCGACAGAAATCTGCAACGTTCGTCCTTCTCCGGTGAACTCCGGCACTCCACGGTCGGCTTTTCTTCTCCTTCCGTCACCCTCTCGCTCTCACGTTTTTTTTTTCTCGCAAACTCTTACGTATGGAACCCTAGCTTCTTGGTTTGTTTGTGTGCAGGTTATCAACAAAGTATTGCTATTTATAGGGGATGGTAGAAGGTTCTAGGTCTCTAAAAATTAGTTTTGTTGATTTTATCCGATTAGCTCTGCAACGCATAGTCTGTTCGTCGTTCTTATCAACATCGTATGCGCTCAGTTAATTACTCCTACTTGTTTTCGAAGTCTTATTATGTACTCCGTATTACACACGTACATATATTGTTACATTTTAAGTTTGAAAAGTGAAACTCCCTTTCTAATTAATTATGTATGTGTCGCACTGTGTCTATAGTATGTAGAGTGTCTATACCGTACACCCGGCTGTACGGTGCAAATCGTACAGCCGGTGGCAATTTTGTAAATTTAGTGAAGACCATGGTTTCTGCTAGATGAGTATTAGTGAAATGTTAATGAGCAGTAGTCCAATTGTAATGAGTACTAATGATCTAGTAATGAGCACGGTGTCATTACATGAAAGCTGATATCACAAATAAAAAACGGTGGCATTTTTGTAATTTCACTGAAAATCGCGATTTTGATTAGATGAGCATTAATACATTTTTAATGAGCATCAGACATATTCTACTGAGTATTAAGAATCGAACAATGAATATTGTGATATCAACTTCATATATTGTAATCCACTTTTTTTCTTATTTTTTTCTTTTATAAAAATTCATTAAATTGTATGTATAGTAAACTTCTATGAACTTCCATATGTGAATATAATGTAATATGATACTCTTTTAAATATGTATTGGAAGAACATTTTAACATGAGCATAATTCGAGTACTGCATGAGCATGTGTAACTTACAAAAAGAGTATTAATATGAAAATCATATTTTTTTAGTTGAGTATCAAGACATTTGCTTTGAGTATCAAACCCTCTTTATTGAATCTAATAGTACACCAATATCAAATGAGCATACTCACTTTACGAATGAGTATCAAAAAATTCAAAAGGCTCATTCAAAATGAGCATATATAGCTTACGAAATGAGTAGTGAAAAAATTTAAATGAGCATTACACCAATATGCATGGATATCACATTTTGAAATGAGCATTACACAAATCTAAATGAGTATACATAAATTATGAATAATAACTTATAAAAATTCTTAAAGAAAAAATAAAGAAAAGAAATAACTAAAACAGGAAAACAACAAAAAGTGAAAAGCAAGAAACGATTAAATGAAAAGCCACCGAAAAGTGAAAAGCAAAGAAACGATTAAATGAAAGTGAAAAGCAACGAAAAGAAGAGGAAACCAAAAAGAAAAGAAAACGGAGTAAAGCCATAGTGCGTGAGAGGTACTCCGTATTTCCCAAGCTTGGCGCTGGTAGTCCGTAGCAGCCATCAGCGAAAAAGAAAAAAATCGGCGGACGAGCAGTGGGGAAAAGAAAAGCAGCAGCATCCATTAACCTAACCTTTACCACTGAACTTGGATTTAATTACAAAAAAACCCGGCTGTACCATGCTCTAGGTACAGCCGGCTGTACGGTATATATTACGATAGTATGTACGTACATGTGTTCCTATTTTTAAATTAAAGATATTATCTTAATTTACAACAATGTAACATTTTAATCATTCAAAAAAAATGTAATATTTTAAGTAATTATTTTATTTTAAATTTTCGAAGTGTCACAGTTGATGCACCTTTAATCGACTATTACTTTTTCTACTTTTTATCTTATCTTTCCTACTTTTTCATTTTCTCTCATACTTTTTCTACATTATTTATTACTCTTACTATTCTCCCTTAAATCTTGTGAGTATACATTAAGTTAATAAAATTAAAATGTTGAATGAGTAAAATATAAATTTAAAGCATATATCAAATACAATTAGAATTTACATGGTCCTTATAATTTTAACACATACTCCGTACTCCATATTGATAAAGCCCAACTTTATCAAAATTTCAAAGAGAAGTAAAAACGTTTTGAAATTCCAAAATAGGAGTATCATGTTTTTTATTCCCTAAATAGGAGTAAATTTCTGCCAAGTTTGGAAATTACAAGGCTTTAAACATGACATTTTTTCCAAACTTGGCAGATTACTCCTATTTAGGGAATAAAAAACCTGACACTCCTATTTTGGAATTTCAAAACGTTTTTACTCCTATTTAGGACAATTTAAGTTTGGAAAAAAATCACCCCGTGAAGCAAAACATTTATCCAAAACACAAACTTAATTAACCGCTTCATACCAATTATCGCCGCTTCCTTCCACGACTATGGCAGCGTCCTCCTGTTATCTCGAAATCTTCCCGCCTGATAATTTGTTCACCCATAGTCGGGAGTTCGTATACTGTGGTATCACCCCACGGTGAGCACCGTGCTCCCAAACCCAAAACGATGTAGTTTTGCATGATTTTTTTTAAAAAAAAATCGTGTGAACAGCAACGTGTGTACAGTAACTGTTTTTTGTCCCAGTCGTATGAATGATGTAACTCGCGTGTAAAGATATGTAACTCACATTATTGATCAATGTAACTCAAGTCCATTCGAAATGTAACTTATTAAATACATACTATAAGAAATAAAACATTGATATCAATGTAAACAATGAAAAATAGAGTTCAATTGCACAATTACTT